ACACCATTTAGGGGGATGAAACCAAGGCAACAAATCGTAAAATATGTAAAGAAAAATTTGAGGGGGGGGGGGGGTGCAAATCGAAACTCTGACGGGGGTGCAATCGAAAATTGGAAGTTTGTCCCCGGGAAGAGTCGCTACGCCTCTTGGGGGGGGGGGGGGTCGACACCATTAAGTGCCGCACCGGGTGACACCCGACCTCGCTACGCCACTGAACTACATTACATAATGTAAAAAAAAACCTATTATTTTAATGTTTCTTACCGAATGTTTTATCCACGAGGAAACTACCTAAACCGGTTGCAATTTCGAGCAGGCTTTTGTCTGTTAAAAAGCGGTTTATTAACCTCAGAATTTCCGCAAATTGGAACTTTTCTTGTAGCCCAGAAGTGTGGTTATACTGCGTCTTGGTGTGGTATGTATTTTCTTCCGTTGAAGTGTTCATCGCTCCCACAGTTGTAGAGAACAGAAACAAACCTACGATCACGCTTAAAACTTTAATTCTATTTTTTGCAATCATTTTAAAAATATTTATAACTGGTCTTCTTTTACGCATAAATTTCCATATTTAAATGCCGAAAACAAACTGAAAATTTGAAAACAAAATGATCCGTATAGCAAAGTGTAATGAACTATTGAATATTTTCTTTGTGCACGCAAATTTCACTAACTTCCTAGCTTCACTTTCGCCTGACCACTGGACATAATTAGCCTAACTATCCTATGGCACGTGGCAGACGACGATGACTAATCCGTCTGCTTCGGATATCAAGTTTAGCCAAACCAGGTGTAGGGTACCTCATTTGCAATTTGTTTAAAAATATTTAAAGTACGAACCTCTCAAACTGACTCGATCGATATTTTCAGTGCTAATTACATGCTAAACGCTGTTTTAGTTTCATATATTGTTACATATATTGAACTAGCCGGTATCGACTAGGCTTTGCTCCAGCCATTTATAGCCATTTCCAAATGTAAATGTTAACATAGACATGTATGTTTTTTTTACAAAATGTTTCAAGAAAAATTAAACAGCAGTACATAATGCTACACTCAAAACAGCAACAGCACGTGATTCTAAAAAATAACCTACACATCACCTGCCAATCCTGAATACGACTTTTTGTTATACAAATATAACAAACATCAGAGTAAAACCATTAAACAGAAAAATCTTGTTACTTACTTTTACTTTACTGGTGAGCAACAACCACACAATTAAAATTTACAGAAATAATATATCGGAATAGTTTCATGTAGGAGTATATAGGTTTTTAAAACATTATAGCAAACCATTGCAAAGTTTAACATTAAGATTACGTAAACAAATTTTAAAAAATATAAGAATGTGTGGCAGAAAATCGTACACATACACCATCTACTATAAAAATAATAGCCACCAGTACGTATTAAATGTTTCAAAATCCTAATGTATAAAAGCAAATGTGCGCACTTACATACATAATTGCCAATAAAACATAACTTAAAATAATCATAACACTAAAACTCAACCTTAATTTTATCTTAAATGTGACATATTTTACCTGGGTTTAAATCTTTACCCACTCCTACCCCTACCCCGCTTTAGCTCAAAGATCAATCTTCTCTTCTCAATTACCTACCTGTGTAATTACACCACTACACAATACATATTATTTCAATACCTATCCCCTTACTTTCCCCCATAGCCATCTCCAAATCCCTAACCAAAACCGTATGCGTATCACTCTACCTCAATTCTTTATCAGATCCTATCATTAGCGTTATTGAGGTGACGCACAGGGTGACACCCGACCTACCGACGCCACTGTAAAAGAATATATATATATATATATATATATATATATATATATATATATATATATATATATATATATATATATATATATATGAAAGCAACTACTATAACAAATTACTGCCTACACCACTAATAGAAACACTAGATCTCTCACTAATTGATGTCTTAATAGAATAGCGTATTGGTTTACAGCCAAATGAACATAAGACACCAATCAGCTTGTGTGTTGGTCTACAGCTAGATGACCACAAGACACCAATTCTCTTGTGTGTTGGTCTACAGCTAGATGACCCTCCACCGCCAAGATATCAGTTTTGTTTTATTTTGTTCCACATCCAGCAGCTAGACAATTAATTAATCCATCGTCGCCCAGTTAACAACGCTAGTGGTAGACTAGTGGAGATCATCTGCTCCTCACCACATGCTATGTGGGACTAATGTGTAACAAATATGCTGTGTTTCTCTGCTCACCACATGCTATGTGGGACTAATGTGTAAAACATATGCTGTGTTTCTCTGCTCACCACATGCTATGTGGGACTAATGTGTAACAAAGATGCTGTGTTTCTCTGCTCACCACATGCTATGTGGGACTAATGTGTAACAAATATGCTGTGTTTCTCTGCTCAACACATGCTATGTGGGACTAATGTGTAACAAATATGCTGTGTTTCTCTGCTCACCACATGCTATGTGGGACTAATGTGTAACAAATATGCTGTGTTTCTCTGCTCACCACATGCTATGTGGGACTAATGTGTAACAAATATGCTGTGTTTCTCTGCTCACCACATGCTATGTGGGACTAATGTGTAACGAAGATGTGTGTTTCTCTGCTCACCACATGTTATGTGGGACTAATGTGTAACAAATATGCTGTGTTTCTCTGCTCACCACATGCTACATAGGACTAATGTGTAACAAATATGCTGTGTTTCTCTGCTCACCACATGCTATGTAGGACTAATGTGTAACAAATATGCTGTGTTTCTCTGCTCACCACATGCTATGTGGGACTAATGTGTAACAAATATACTGTGTTTCTCTGCTCACCACATGCTATGTGGGACTAATGTGTAAAACATATGCTGTGTTTCTCTGCTCACCACATGCTATGTGGGACTAATGTGTAACAAATATGCTGTGTTTCTCTGCTCACCACATGCTATGTGGGACTAATGTGTAACAAATATGCTGTGTTTCTCTGCTCACCACATGCTATGTGGGACTAATGTGTAACAAATATGCTGTGTTTCTCTGCTCACCAGCGCACCAATCAACCCCACGGTTCCAACTTACAGTGGACTGTGGTTCCACTATGTCTTTTTTTTTATCGTCAGGGCACCAAGCTGCCTTGAGACTCTTTCCTAATATTTTCTTGTTTCTTCTTACATAAAAATAAAGAAATAATTATTATTGTTGTTTCGTTGTGAAAATGTTTGCAACAGTTACCAAGTCAGTATTAGAATTTATAATAAATTATTATTACAATTAAAAAAACTTCTTTCATAATCTTAAATTAATTTCACTTTCACTTCACTTTCCTTACGATCCATCCCCCTTCATCGGGCAGGGTTGGGGGAACTTGATAATTTCAGGGAGGCGGTCAGTATTTTCCGGGGGGGGGGGGGGGCGGACACTGGTAAAAGTATATATTTTCTGTATAAATTCCATTTCGTTCGGGGGCTCCCCCTCCCCCGAATAGATACATGGAAGAAACTCTGCTTATAAGTCCACATCTGGTTTTGTCGTTCCGTGTGTAAAAATTTACACAAAACTCAATGCCGAGTAACAGAACTGAAGTAGTTAACTTATGACCTAAGGGAAATATCTACGTTGTACACACTAGTATGTTCAGCCCTCCTCTATTAGTGCGACACAACAGAGATGACACTTGGAAAACATTGGTCGAGTGGTAGAGCGAGGTATGGGTTCTCAGAGGCTTTCAAAGCGTTACCAGGTTTCGAGTCTATAAGATCTTGTTCAAGATGGTATTCAAGTAGTAAGGGTTTGAGTCTATGAGAAATTATTCACGATGGTATTTCAGTAGTAAGGGTTCGAGTCTATGAGAAATTATTCAAGATGGTATTTCAGTAGTAAGGGTTCAAGTCTATGAGAAATTATTCAAGATGGTATATTTAGTAGTAAGGGTTCGAGTCTATAAGATCTTGTTCAAGATGGTATTTCAGTTGTAATGTTTGGGTCTATGAAACATTATTCAAGATGGTATTTTAGTAGTAAGGGACCAACTCGAATTGAAGAATGACATTGTTTGATTTGGTGCTGACCACAAGATAAACCATTAGCTACAAAAAACATGTTGAACCCATTTTCAGCTCTGGGTCGTATAGTCTGAAGGTTTTCATTCAAAACCTCCTCGAAAAAAAACCCTCTAGTACAAAACTTTCCTGGACAAACCCTCGTAGGTAAATGTCTACTTGAAAAAAACCCTCCTGGACAAAACCCTACTTGACAAACCCATCCTACACAAACCCCACTTCGACAAAACCCTCCTGGACAAAACACACCTAGATAAAAGTCTCCTGGACAAAACTCTCAATGACAAACCCCAGGACCAAACTTCGTAAAACTCATAGAAAACATAGAAAGTAATAACAGATAATAAGAAGCACAATTAAGAATAAAACGTTTTTTTAATCATTGTAATTAAAATCTTGCTCAATTATTTTACAAATAACTATTTTTAAACCCGTATGTGTCAACAGGTATTGAAGTAAATTCTTACGTAAAATAATGAGCTTCGGCGTTTGTAAGTTGAACATGTAAAAAATTAATTTAATCTAACTTACGAAAACATGTAGTGTAACAAACTTAGAGAAAATAGTTAAAATTATTTCAACTTAACGAAACTATATAAGTTTGTTGAAGATTAAAGAAATCATGTAAGTAAACTTAACTTTAAACATAATTATAAAAGTAATTTTTATCTTTAATACCTATAACTGTGTCAAAATTACTTAAACCATCTGTGTTAGTTTAAGTTTAACAAGAATTATATAAGTCATTATATCTTTAAAAACAACATGCATGGAATTTGCTTATCAAGATTTGTTTGTTGAAGATTAAAGTAATCTTTTGTTTTAGCTTAACTTTAAAGATAATTATATAAGTAATTACATATTTAAAAACCTTTAAGTTGCTCATCAAGACATCATTATCACTGAGAAAAAAATATATATAATAAAAAAATGTGTTTTATTATGCTATTAACCAAGATTGTGTTTGGAGTTGAAGAAATGGACATAATGTTTGGGAAAAACTTAATTTTACTGATAAAATAATTAAAAAATAATTATAAACATTATCTAACATTAAACATGTGCTTTTAGTCATTCTATCTTATGATGCCATGGAGTTGTCTAGTTCAGATATTTAATCGGTCACACCCAACTGGACATCGGTCAGTAGGATCGGAGTCTAAGACATGAAGAAAGCCACGGTGCCAAAGGCCAGAACCACTGTGCTCAACTCTAGCAGAAGATCTGTGGTGAAATACAATTATGTTAATATTTTGAATTAACGATGAAAAAAACGGCAGTTGTGACAAATTACATTGAACCAACCATGTAGTGACAATATCTACGCTTATACAATCCGGGTTGTGACACAATCTACGCTTATATAACTCAGGTTGTGACAAGATCTGCCCTTATACAATTAAGGTTGTGACAAGATCTACACATTTACAATCCAGCATGGTCGAGACGGTGAAGCTCATGGCTGCTAAACCGAAAAGTCTCAAGTTCGAATCCTCGGGCAGATAAGGCTCTTTAGCTGGGGACAGCCACTCTTCTAGGAGAGTCAACTTTAGGTTGTTCTTGGTTGGACAAAGGCTATGGAAGCAAATCCAAAACGAAAAGCAGGCTGAAATCGGAGTCAACGGATGGCGCATAACCAGTTGACACGAATACTTAATTGTGTTGAGGGGAATCCCCCCTACAATTAAGAACGAAGAAGAGAAGAAGAATACTATCCAGCCCTAATTTTTTGTATAATAAAAATAAGAAATCAACGTTTGGTTATGCAGGAGAACCTTAGTGGTATCAAATTGGACAGCTTACTTGTCAGCCTGCGTGCGGATCTGTTAGTAGACTTGTGATTGGGTCGAGTTATGTGGCCGCGGTCTGAAAATATCAACACAGTTTATCAGCGTGTGCTATCAGCCTTTACAAGCGAACACATGTGCTATTTCCGGCCGGCTAGAACTGTTGTCATTTAAATGTAAACAAAATCGGTACTACATTTCTTAGATCTTAAACATTGGGGCGCTTTTTCTGCACACTATATCCTAGACACCACAACGTGTTTTTGTTTTTTAAATATTGTCTCTTAGTAATAGTGTTTCTTCCAGACTTTTTTCTTCGGGATTTGGGAGGGGGGGGGGCGGTCAACATTTTTCGGGGAGAGGGGGGGGGCGGACATTAGTAAAAGTGTATGTTTACTATATCAATTCCATCTCGTTCGTGGAGGGGGGGAGGGGGGTAGAAGAGATGCGTGGAAGAAACTCTGCTTAGTAACCTATCAGTTAAAATATTAAGCAGGCATGGTTTTTTTTGTATGTAGAACGTTGGGAATTCCAAACATATTTAATATACAATACAGAGGCCGACTCTTTATTGCTATAGTTATCATTTTCATCATCTTAACCCTTAAATAAATGCATGTCAAAGCAAATTGATTGATATCTATATTTTGTTCCCCAGATTACCATGATATACTATGACTACGACACACTATATAATAGATATACGATATACTATATAATATACTATGATTACTATGACATAATGAGTTAGTTTACCAATTAGGTCCTTGACGAACAGCGTATCATTAGCTCTGTATGGGAACCGTCTTTGCTGTTTGAAAGTTCGTCCATCGTAAATAAAGCGTATTGTCATCGTGGTCTTTCTAAACAGCCTTGCGGGTATATACGAATACCAAAGTTTGGGTTCTCCGTCGTCGCAGTAGCAGCCATCTTGGTACCTCGGATTACCTTCCCATTTTTGGCAGCTATTTGGCGGGAACATTCGATAATTAAACATGCAAATCTGAAGAGAAAAACATATTCGTAAGTCAATGTGCTTATGTGGGAAGATTGTAACAGTAAACAAAGATTGAAGATGGTAACAGTAGAAACAGATTGTAAAAGTAGACTAGGATTGAAATGTGTAACAGTAGACAATGATTGAAGATTATAACCGTAGGCAAGGACTGACGACAGTAACAGTAGACAATGATTGAAGATTGTATAAGTAGATTATGATTGAAGAATGTAAAAGAAGACAATGATTGAAGATTGTAAAACAAGACAATGGTTGAAGATTGTAACAGTAGAAAAGGAATAAACACTGTCACATGAGACAATGATTGAAGATTGTCTAAGTAGACAATGATTGTCGTGTACTACAGAAGTCATTGATTGAAGATTGTCACAGTAGACAATGATTGCCGTGTAGTACAGAAGTCATTGATTGAAGATTGTCACAGAAGACAATGATTGCCGTGTTACACAGAAGTCATGGATTGAAGATTGTCTAAGAAGATAATGATTGCCGTGTACCACAGAAGTCGTGGATTGAAGATTTTCACAGTAGACAATGATTGCCGTGTACCACAGAAGTCGTGGATTGAAGATTGTCACAATAGACAATTATTGTCGTGTACTACAGCAGTCATGGATTGAAGATTGTCTAAGTAGACAATGAGGTGCTAGAGTTTTAATACTTGTACTCCTGTAAACTACTAGAGATAAAAGTACGTAGTTCCCCTTCCAAACCTGACGGTCTATGGGGCAAGGGAAGAAGAGTTCACCTGTTTCTGTGACCTCGGCATATGAAGAGATAGTGTGGTCAGCACTATGCCCAGTCGCCTTTACTTTCCCTAATGTGAGTTAGGTACCTATCAGAGCTGTTTGGACTCAGGGACGGTGTACTAACGAGATATTTTTTTCTGAGTTGTTCGATAATAGAATAAATTTTAACATCTTATGTATTTTAACCAAAATCTATTGAAAAAAAAAACTTTTAAAAGCAGAATACTAACCGGGGTGAAGGAATGATGGTCGGAATAGTTTGTGCAGTCATAATTTTTGTAGGAAGAATCTAAATCAAGCGCGCAAGCCAAGGCAAAAAAGACTGCCTCATCCAATACGTACAACGTGTCCTGTGGTATATGCATACGTCCATAGATAATGAGTGGGTCCCTCCCCCACACCACACACCCTGTACAGCGGGGTAGGTACCCATCTAACGTGGCAATAATTCCATGATCTCGTTGGAATTCAAGCGAGTTCACATTGCCCCTGCTTTCTTGAATTAAAATGTAGATATTAAAAAAAATACAATTAAAACGACAAATCACAAAAAGAAAAACAGCATCCATACGATGTTAATTATGCACATAGTGTGAGAGATACAGAGGCGTAGCAACGGGGGGGTGGGGGGTGGGGTGGGGAGGGGGTTACATGTCTTCGGGGGCGCCAAAATAAGCCCATTTTAGCTGCTGTTTTATATGGGGGTGGGGCGCCAAATTGAAAGTTTGTCCCCGGGCGCCGGGAGCGGTCGCTACGCCTCTGGAGAGATATGTGGCAATTAATGTATACACATTGTGTTTATAATTATGGAAAAACAAATTTGAGCTATGCACATTTTTGTTTGTAATTTGTCGTGTACAGAGTATAGAGAAAGTACTGTAATGGGTAGACAGCATGACCTAGCGGTAGACAGATAGACATCTAGAGACGTTCGAATTCAAATGAAGGAAACTAAGTCCACCCTGCTTTGATGGGTACCTAGCAAAAACGGCTGGGTATAGTGCCTATCACATTATCCCTTCACATACCAAGGTCTCTGAAGCAGCTGAACTCTACTTCATCTGCCCCGTGTTTCTTGGCCACGAGCGGGAAATGACGTTGACGATTGTAGTCGTAGAAAAAAGCAAATCATCAATTTTCACCGTTTTACAACAAATCATCAATTTTCACCGTTTTACAACAGATCATCAATTTTCACCGTTTTACCCCCCCCCCCCTACTATATCGTTACCGATTATATAGTATGCAGTGTACTCGAGCAAAAATATAAATTTTTTTTTTTGGACAAATTAAATTGTGAATTTCTATAACCTTCTGGAGCCGGGAAAACCTAATGTATCATATTGTCCCATCTTGGAGAGTTTCTTCGAGGCTTCTCTCCCCGTCTCACCATGAAAGTCTACGACCCTCCCCCAGAACGAAATGGAATTTATATAAAAACATATTTTTACCAGTGTCCGCTCCCCCTCCCCCCCCCCCCAAAATTTAGTCCCCCCCCCCCCTGAAAATACCAAGCGCCTCCCCAGAGAAAAAAAGTCTGGGAGAAACAGTAATCTTAGAGCGGATCAAATTCCTAAATAGAGGCATTACTATACTGGTGTAATAAAAAATATCTAAGAATATTGAGGTCATTCCTTATTCTTATAGCTATAAGTAATTTACTTTTGCTATGTTTGTAAAAAAAAATCAAGATAGTCATACTATATGTTTTAAAAAGACTATATTGGGTAGGATTTTAATTTACCTGCATGAATAAACATTGAACTCAGAATCCAGGCAATGAACAGCATTCTTCCGACTCTGATGGGTGACTTGCTGTAAAGCAGAGTTGTGAAAAGTTTGCTGACAATTTTTTTTTAATTAGCATCGTTCATGTGTACGTGTGCGTGTGAGTGTAGGCTACTTAGAGCGGGACTGGCTGTGTCTAAGATGCGCGGGAAATTAAAAAAAAAAATGGGTCTTCCCCATTTCCAGATCGTAGTGTATTTTCCCGATCAGAGCTTGGGGACTGAACCTATAGACTATAGAGAAAAACAAGCAATAATAACACTAAATCGGGAGTGATCTCCCCTAAACTTTCTCGAATGTTCTTATGTAACACTACTGGGGATGGCAACTCGGTATATAAACAATATTTTAAATCCATTTTTAATTACTTAAACTTTTAAAAATAGAATATAATCTCGTAAAAAGAATCGCGCACCACGTGAACGCCAAACTAAATGTGTAGAATAGTGCGGAATATTAGTACTTTATAAATTCACATGCGTTTTTTGAGAAATCAAAAATAGAGTAAATTACTACTTACGGTCAACGGAAATTGTTCAAAATTGAAAGAAGGCAGAGAATTAGATCGTTTACTTATACGTAAAATTTCATTCATCTATCTGAAATAGTACTCAAGTTAGCGGCTTTCGAGAAATTGAAAGTAGAAAAAGTTCCACTTCCGGTTATCGGAATTCGCTGAAAAGTTGATACAGATCTACAAATTTGATATAATACTTATATACAAAAGTTCATTAACCTTGCTGTAACGGTATTCAAGGTATCGTGCTTACACACACACACACACACACACACACACACACACACGGACACACACACACACACACAGAGACATACGGACAAGATTGCAAAATTATGTTTTTCCGTATCAGTGAGGTGTAAAACGTCGAGATTTGTAAAAATCTCGATTTTTTTTTTTGCACGATTACAATACTTTCTCTATACTTCGTATATACGAGAAAGTAAAAAACCAGCCTGCTCCTATAGTCCAGAAGGTTCTTTATCCTTGCTAGTTGAAAATTTGTCTTTAATAAGGACATTCATAGAAGATGAATATGATCGCACCAAGTGAGGTTGTGATCTATAATCAATCCTAGGCATTTGTAACTGTTTACCTGTTCAATGTTTGTATTGTCAATAGTATGCGTAATGAGGTAGATGGAAGACGAAGGTGTTTCTGATGAGTCGTAATAATCATTGACTTGGTTTTATCGGGGTGAAGTTTCATTTTGTTAAATTTTGTCAAAGTACCAAGCAATACTTTCTCTATACTTCGTGTATGAGAAAGTAAAAAGGCAAAAGCAATTTGGTTTTCACGTGGAAAATGCGACATAAACAATGACATTCGATAGGCTAGCATAAATTTTATTATACACAATGTAAACGAAATTGCAGTACTAAGTCATGTGGTTTAAAATAGCATTACGTTATTTAAAAACTTTATCTGCAAAGTTTTGTAAACAAATAACTATCGATCACGGAGTTCATGTTCAGCCAATCAATGTTTGTCTTACGAAAGTGAAACATCCGGATGAATGAATTAAAAATAAATAGAAAAGTAGCCTTAAATTCAAAAAAAATATTTTCAATTTCTCAGCATTTGCAACTTTTATAACATTGATTCTAAAAATATTAAAATTCTAAAGTATTGTAAGCTTAAGATTTGTTTTTATTTTTATGGCCCCATGAAGTAAAAATATATTTTTAAAAAGCGAATTATATCCATGCGAACTATATAATAGAATTAACAGAAGGAATCTCGTCAACTTAGTGGCCTCTATGATAAATCTAGAAATAGATTTAGATCGAGATTCTAGAACTATTCTGGAACATACATATTGATATAATCTATATCGTTAACTTTAAATTATACCCAGGAGAGTGACGGGATCTTACTTACGTTCTGTAATGTGTTAACCTATAAAAACCCAAGTATTTTTAGAAATTCAACAGTTTATGTGTATCCCATAGAATTTACAAGGAAACGCCATAGTTAACACCCAAACAGGAAGTAGAAATCTAAATGGAGTTGAGATTATAAAAATTAGGTGGTATTGAGATTATATTAATTCGTTGTGTTGATGTTTACAAACAAAATGGTGGTGTTAATAAAGAGTTAATCAACTGGGCGGTGTTGAGATTATAAAAATTAGGTGGTATTGAGATTATATTAATTCGTTGTGTTGATGTTTACACAAAAAAAAAATTGTGGTGTTAATAAAGAGTTAATAAATTGGGCGGTGTTGAGATTATAAAAATTGAATGGACGTTGAGGCTAGAATCAACAAGGAAGAAATTCTTTTAGCTCGCTGAATGAGGCATTGGATAAGAAATTAAAACCAGAGCAGGCAGGTTTTCGACTACACCTGTCATGTACTGACAACATAGCCACTATGCGCGTACTTATTCAAGTCCATCGAGCGGAAATCACATCTCAATATGACCTTATTCAGTTTTGGGAAGACATTTCAAAGTGTGGACTGAGGTGTCATTTGGAAGTTGATAAATCACTATGGGATCCCTCCAAAATGTATCAACTTCATCCAACAGCTCGATGTAGACTCCAACTGCCAGATCATCCACATCAAGTCGACTAACCCTATTATAGAGAACATCTGAGTACGGCAAGACTGAATGCTTTCGTCAATGCTCTTTTTGACAGTGAAGGGGGTGAATGGGGGTGAATGTTGTTTGTACTTGGTACCCTGTTCCGTTCGTCCTTGTTCAGTCCTCGTATTGTGAGTGATAGCAGTGTGTTTTGTACTCGTTTATGTAAGGGTATATAAGGTGTGTGAAAATGTGTGTGATTGCCTCAGTTTCGTTCAGATCTCACCCAAGGTTAGTATAGTTTAGGTCTGTACTAGCCACTGTGTCCTAGTTTTTGTACCAGCGTGTGTAGGCCTATTTTGTGTTTAGAATAGACTGTGTTAGTTGTAGATAGTTCAAATATCACTAAATTATTTTAGTGTTGACGAGCCTTTGTTTTATTGAATCTTGTGTTTTGTAACCCGTTTGTGGTTGTTTGTCTTATATGTTGAGCTACGCATCGGATCACCCGTAAACGCGTGTCCGTGTTTTCACAAAGCATGTCCGTGTATTTATAAGGCGTGTCCGTGTGTTCACAAGGCGTGTCCGTGTATTTATAAGGCGTGTCCGTGTGTTCACAAGGCGTGTCCGTGTGTTCACAAGGCGTGTCTGTGTGTTCAAGAGGAGTGTTCGTGTGTTCACAAGGCGTGTCCGTGTGTTCACAAGGCGTGTCCGTGTGTTCACACACAAGACGTGTCCGTGTGTTAACAACAGTAAATAACTGGATCAAGCTCAAACAAAAAAAAACTGGAATTCAGTAAATCCTCACTAAACAACTGACGGGTTTAGATTTTGCGGACGACATCAGCCTTCTCTAACATCGACAAAAAATGTCAGTCCACGCTAAGCAAACTGAGTGAACAGGTACTTAAGACAGGCATGAAGATCAACTGGAAAAAAACAAAGGTGATGAGTGTGAGGGTGTCAGGAATCCCAAAGAAAGCACAACACGATACTATTATAGAATTCTTTATTTCACCATCTCCCGTCCTCCGGTCACAAAATACACCTCCTTGCTTTGACACTCAACCTTCAACTGTCGTCCGCATTCATCCCTCCACACCACCTTTCTCTCGCTCACAACACAGCCACTGTCACCCGACCAGTCGCTTCCCTTGTACCCTCGTTCACCCCGTACAACAACATACACGTCAACACACACGGCCTCGCACCTCACTACATGATACATACACACACGCAGAGCCGTTCCACGTATTCACCTTTCATACACATCACATCACCACATACCCTCCATCTGTCCCTAGCTGATGCAATCAGCGGAATTATCAAAAAAAACAACAAACAACAAAAAAAAAAAAAAAAGAAAACCAATAACTCCACACATTATGTATATATACATAACTACGATGTTAACAGTTTCAATGGGACTGTTAAGTGGTCCCTCCAAAGACTTTCCGTAAGTCTGTAGTACACAGAATAGACGCACCATGTCAGACTTGTACTCTGTAAAATACATCTAGTACAAAAACATGGCATCATGTACATATTACATTTCAGAAAATAGCTACATAGTAACCCTGTATAGAACATTTGAAATAGGTTTAAAAATCACACACAAACGACAACCGATCGTTGACTCGGCACCACCAGTAGCATACTTTTGTTGGGTACAATCCACCTTCAGTCTCTGTAAGAATATCATCATTTACATTTCTCGTATATAACAATTAACAATATACATACATACGACAAAAAACCTTAACAAAAAGGATACCGGTACTTGTTTTAAACTTTGGATACGACGTCTATTTTCCTCTCCTTCGGTACAACTTGTCGAAAGACGCCATGCTACATACTGTATATTGTATAACAAATGTCTTACACGTGTGTTGTCTCACCGCCGTCTTGTTGTGTGCTCCGTCCCAGACTGTGACCAGATCAAATATCACCTTACCGCTGCATTAGAATGATAGTTTTGTGGTATGGTCTCTCTCTCGATATCATTCCCGATGATTACGTCGAATGATCCCCGTTCGAATACTAAGGCTCGTACTTGTCCCGTCACATACGGTGATTTAATGTTTATCAGTGCTATCGGTAGGCGTATGACCGTGCCACCAAACACCTCTACCATTTTCCATTCACCCGTGTATTGGTGCTGTTCGACGTAGCTACTTTTTACAGCAATAGTAGAGCAACCCGTGTCTCTAACCGCCTCTACCGTATGAGCTCCCACATTCACCATTAGTGTTGGTATTTTCGGTGTGATCTGTAGTAACGGTGCTTGTTCTTTTCCCTCATTATCTGGGCTACTGTTGTGGTTGTTGTAATCATTGTTATGATTTCCGTCCTGCCCCGGTCTACGTTGTTGGCTGTAATACCCGCGTGTCGCAGGAGTGTTTGAGTCCCTGGGGTATTCCTGACCCGCAGCCTGGTTATTGACCCCAGCGTTTGAATGTCTATGTGGACAGTTCCTAATCATGTGACCCTGTTGTTGGCAGTTAAAACACCTCCCAACGTATCTTGTGCCGTTGGTTTGTGTTCCATATCTCCTTGGCCGTCGATTGTCATCTCTGTGGTTTCCTGCCTCTAGGCCAACGTACTCCGCTGTACCGCCTGTCGCCTTCGCATAGAGGATTGACTCATATTCTGATTCATTATTAGATAATGGTCTATCCGGGTGTGCAATTATGTACTTTTGGCAGTGTTCAGTAAGGTCTTTCAGAGTGGTGGGCTTTCTTTCCTGTATGTAACTTAGTAACTGCTTATCTACTGAATTTGATATTTTATCAATCAAGATGAATTCAATTATACTCTCCACGTTCATCTCCACTCTAGCCGTTTCTAGCCACTTCATAAACGTGGTTTTTAGATCCAGCACGTAGTTTTTGAAGTCCTCAGCTTTGGATGGTAGTCTGTTGTGGAATTTTTTCCTATACGAGTCTTCATTATGTAAGAAGAACTCAAGGAGGGTTTCCTTTAATATTCTGTAGTCCTTCATGTCACCCTCACTCAGGCCCTGACATGCATCCAATGCCTTCCCTCCTATTAAGACAAGGAGTTGAGTTCCCCACTGCGTATCGCTCAAGCTTGTCGTCCTCGCCACTGTCTCGAATCTCCTGATATACGCATCTATGTTTTCCAAATCTTCATGAAATTTCGGCAACTTTGATAGGATATTTTGATGGCTCCCGTCTATGTGTGGTATGTCTTTCATACTTTCATGCTTTATTCGTGCCAGTTCGAATTCCTGCTCCTGCTTCATCCTTTCGAGTTCTATCTTCATTTTTTCGTTCTCTATCCTTGCTTCTGTCTCCATCTTTTCTTGTTCCATCTTCATTCTTTCTCTTTCCCTTCTGCACCATCTGTCCCTCCTTTCTTCATTCTCATTCAGTCTTTTCTCCACCCACTCGTCCAACTTCTCTCCCTCGTATCCGTTGCTTCTACCCAGGCTATACATCTCTGGCAAACTAACAGGTCCCTCCATGTTTCTGTTAGATAATTTATCTAATTCACAAATTCAAAAAGTGCCACTTACAGGAGGTCTGTTGGTACGACAGCAGATACACGTCTATTACCCAGTTTTGGGTGCCGCAGCTCCACCAAATATGTGAGGGTGTCAGGAATCCCAAAGAAAGCACAACACGATACTATTATAGAATTCTTTATTTCACCATCTCCCGTCCTCCGGTCACAAAATACACCTCCTTGCTTTGACACTCAACCTTCAACTGTCGTCCGCATTCATCCCTCCACACCACCTTTCTCTCGCTCACAACACAGCCACTGTCACCCGACCAGTCGCTTCCCTTGTACCCTCGTTCACCCCGTACAACAACATACACGTCAACACACCCGGCCTCGCACCTCACTAAATGATACATACACACACGCAGTGACCCGTTCCACGTATTCACCTTTCATACACATCACATCACCACAATGAGAATCAACAATATACGGGAGCTCCCACTAAGGATACAAGAAACGGCTATACCTGAGGTGGATCGCTTCACATATCTAAGAAGTATAGTAATCACGGATGGGGAGCAGATGGGGACATCAATAGCCGCATCAGAAATGTAAGGTACGCATTCAACGCCCTCCACACAACCGAGACCTTGAGAGCACTGTCTACGATTTCCACAATACGAGTGTTTGTTCAACAACAATGTGAAATCTGTTCCCTTCTATGGTTCTGAGACGTGGAGATTCAACACAAGCTTATAACAACAAACTTCAGACTTTCATTAATGGATGCCTTCGCCGCATATTGAAAAGCAATTGGGCCTGAAAAAGTTACCATTTCCGAACTGTGGCGAAAAACTGGGTGTGAGGGTGGGGGTTAAGAACATCCACCAGTGTGAGGGTGGTGGTTGAAGAGGGCCGATGCTCTACCAAATGTAATGCATGGTTGTAGAAAGTTTGTATTATATATATATATATATATATATA